ATACATATGGCGTGACAGTCAATAAATTTATCAGCTCTGCTTTATTGTAAATATTCCTTTATTCAATAAATAGAATTTACCAACTATGTCCTAGGCCCTGTGCTAGATTCTGGGCAAACAACAGTGAACAAAGTAGATGTTGTCCCTGCCTTTATTTACAGATTAGTAAAGGAGATAGACTAAAGTAAGTAAATAAATAAATGCATGAAATTACCAACTGTGGTTAAATGCTCTGACAGGCACAAAGAGAGTGCAACAACAGGGAATAACAGAGCTGGCCTCTCTTGGGCAGTGGCATTTGTGTTGTAAAGGTGCTCTCCTTGTAAAGAGCAAGATGGGGGTGGAGAGAGCATCCCACATGGAGGGACCAGAGACCGGTAGGGAAAGAACTTACCAGTCAAGGAACTGAAACAAATCCCATCTGGGCAGAGCACAGGAGAGGGGAGGAGCTGTGGGACAAGATGAAGTGAGAGAGGCAGGCAGGGGACAGATGACACAGGGATTTAAAGGACATCTCTGTTCCCTTCTCTCTTAGTGAACAGACTGAAATGTCAGGAACTAGGAAGCCTCTAGCAAGAAGTATGCTAATAATTGAATCTTTGCCAGTAGAAATGCACTCCTTAAAGTTTGCAAAGTTTACCTGGATATCCTCTACCCTTTAAGAAGTCCTTTAAACCACTATCAATTAACACTTTGGTGAGAATTAGTTTTCTGGACTCTTTTTATGTATTCAACAGTCATTGCATGCCGTCTTTGTGCCAGACAACCGTTTGGGGTGCTATATGTGTTCTGGGTGTTGAGGATTGGCACGCCCCATCTCTCCTCTCATGGAGCCCAGGTATGGTAAAGTGCTATGAGGTAAAATGACAGGGAGCCAATAAAAGTGTGTCACAGGTTCTGGCCTGACCTGAGCAAAGGAAGAAGGCTTCAAGGCAGAAGTAGCACTTAAGCAGGGAAGTGAATGATGCCAGGCTGGTTAACAGGTTGGTGTGGGTATAGAGGGAGAAGGAAGAGGGGTATTCCAGGAAGAAAGGGTCCTATAGGTTCAGCATACTAGAGAAGCTTCAAGAAGTCCAATGCACTACCCCTGGAGTGGGGAGAGTGAAGGAGATAATGGAGGAAAGGGAATCTGAGGGGTAACTGCAGTGGAGTGCAGGGTTTTGGAGGTGCTGGTAAATGCATTTGGACTCTAGGAACAGAGAAAGTGTTAACAGGTTATAAGCAGATGAGTGATAGGATCAAGTCTGCATTTAAAAAAACAAAACAAAACAAACCAAAAAAACCAATCACAGGCCGGGCGCGGTGGCTCACACCTGTAATCCCAGCACTTTGGGAGGCTGAGGTGGGCGGATCATGCAGTCAGGTGATCGAGACCATCCTGGCTAACACGGTGAAACGCGATCTCTACTAAAAATACAAAAAATTAGCCAGATGTGGTGGCATGTGCCTGTAGTCCCAGCAACTTGGGAGGCTGAAACAGGAGAATTGAATTGCTTGAACCCGGAGGTGGAGGTTGCAGTGAGCTGAGACCATGTCACTGCACTCCAGACTGGGCGACAGAGTGAGTCTGTGTCTCAAAAAAAAAATCATTACATATCGGTGTGGAGAAGGGGACTGGAGGTAAAGAAGAATGAACTCGAGAGAACATTCAGGAGATGATTACTGACATTTAGGCAAGAGACAATGGTGGCTTAGAAGAGAATGATGGCAGTGGAGATTCTTAATTGCAGAACCTACTTGATCTTTGCATATATGCTTATTCACAATTCAGGTTGAATATAAAGTATTTAGCAATGGTATTTGGCATTATTCACATATTGGGTATGATTTTTATTCCTTTTCAAGAAGCAGAATTTTATTTTTTATATAAGTGAAGCTAATTTCAACTTCAAGCCCCCATTCTTCTGGAAGCTGAACATTTGCTTTTAGTCAATTTGAGGTCTCTCCATTCCTTCCTCAGTATTACAGCTTAATTAGAAGAGGGAGGTCTGTTTGGATCTTGTACAAGGTGGGTGTGGGTGGCTAATCTGGTCTCCTTGCTCGTGCATCTACTCTGGAATCCACTGACACACCCTTGGTCCCATGGAGCCTATGATTTACTCAGACTTCTGCTGTACCCTTTTTGTCCCATTTTGATACTTTCTCAGGTCCACTGATCCCTACACCATGTCTCAACTATTCTCTAAATGCTTAGAAAATGTCCTACTTCTTCCAAAACAATCTGGCTGTGGGTAACATCTGAGGCTGTCTCAGCCCTGCTACATCAACATGCCAAGTATACCTCTTCTTCTCTAGAACCCGGCTGGTGTGCAGGGCCAATAGTTTCTTACTGGGTCTTGGGAACAGATTCAAGAGATATTTAGAAGGAAAAAAAGGATTATCTTTGATGATTCATATATATCAGAGGTAAAGTTTCAGGAAGGAGTCCCCCTGCCTTTTTTTTGTATGGGGAACAGGATGCTATCTTTTAATGAGACGGGAACCTTGGAAAAGGAGCAGATGTAGTGCATGGGCTGGAGTCATAAGGTCACTTTTGAACACAATATGTGTGAGATATCCAAAAAGAGAGACTGAGGAAGTAGTTGGCATTGAGGGCAGGGATCTGAAGCTTGGACGAGACGTCTGGGGTTGAGAATACACAGGTTTTTTGTTTGTTTGTTTTGTTTTGTTTTCTTTTCTTTTCAGTGTAAAATCGGGGGTAATGGAAGCCATGGGACAGACATCATGGGATTCCCTGGAGAAAGAGAATATAGAACAAAATGAGAAAAGGGATTGAGGAAATATCTCTGAGTAATATTTAAGGATTGGCTATGAGATGGAAAACCTGCAAAATAATCATGGAGGTAAGAGGAAAACAAGGAGAATGTCATGAAACAAAAGCTACAGAAGTGAGTGCTTCCAGAGCGTAGGGGTAGTTAACAATGTTAAATGCCACCGCCAAGAAGTCAAGTAAGATGAAAACTGAAAAGTATCCTTTGGATTTAGAAGTTACTGGTTATCTCAGAAAAAGCAGTTCCAAGGTATGAAAGAGGCAAAAGCCAAGTTGAAGAGTCTACTTTGAACATGTGGGGCATTCACAGAAACTTCAGAAATCATGCCTTTCTAGGAGAAGTAAACTGGCCCTGTAGTAAAGGTTACTCTAAATTCACTCCAACAAAGCTTAAGAACAAGTTTCCAAAGACTCAAGCTAATGCACAAGTAAATTAGTTGCCTGCTAGAAAAAAGTCTACCATCCCTTAAGACAACAAATTCCAATGCTCAATAAAAAAATTTCAGTATCCAATAAGAAACTTACAGTATCCAATAAGAAATTACTATATATGAGAAGAAGTAGGAAATTGAGACCTATAACCAGGAGAAAAATTAGTCAATAGAAACAAATCCAGAAATGAAGAGATGATAGAACAGCAGATGAGGGGACAAGGACTTAAAGTTAGTTATTGTAAATATGTTCATGTATTTAAAGGAAAATGAATATAATGAGCAGTGGAAGCTATTAAAAAAATACTAAAAGCAATCATATCAAAGTTCTTTTTTCATAAGACTCCCCCTCCAACCAATGCTATAACCAGCCCTCTCGCCTCTTTTCTGTAAAGTATTTTGTTTCATGTAACTTTGTACTTTTGGTTCTCTGTATGCAAGTATTTTAAAATTTTCTTGGGGAACATATCATATATATTCCTAAAGAAAGAATATATATTCTCTTGAAAGGTGCCAGAGAAGTAGGGAGGTGGGTATGATTGTGATTGAACTCCAGATGCCCCTCTGTCCTAAACAGCCACTGTTTGTAGAAAGTTTGAGACTTCCTGGTCTCCTACAGAGCAGCTGGCTGGGGCTCAAGGGACACACCTTGGTGTTTCAGGTCCATCTGTCTGATTGGCCCATCTGACCCTGAGGTGTAATAATCCTGAGCCTCACTGAAGCAGGTTGTCATAACTCCTTTTTTCCTCTTTTAAACCCTTCCTTGGGAGCTTTAAGGGCACCTTTTAAGGTACCCTTAAAATTAAAAGAGAAATATATATATATTTTTAAAAGAGAAATATTAATGAAAAGGAAAACATTAAACTTCAAGAACTCATATGAAATATTTGTGAAAATCTTTATCACAGCTAAGTTGGGCTTAAGTCAAATCAGACAATTTAGGATTAAAGGAGAAGGGCTGAGTCTTCTCTCCTTGCTGTGCATCCGCATCAAGGAGGTATAAGTTTTTCCTAAAGATATTCATCCCATTAACATTGATATCAAAGATGAATTTGCAAATTTGAAATCTCTCATATTGTCAGCTTTTCTAAATATGTTCATATGGTGGAGAACTCACGAGGCTTACATTACTTTAGTCCATGGATCACTTTATAAACACTACTAAGCTTAAACTTTAAAATTATAAATTATTGTACACATTTTTACTTAGAATTGTTAACTGGAAATTCATTTATTTCTGCCCTGTTCCATGCCAGTAAGGGAATTAGAGATCATGTTTTTAGCTACTCCCCGGATGAAGGAAAATAGAAACGTGGGTCTCAGTTGAGTGCACCAAGCTGTCATGCTCATATTTGGTGCCAGCTGGTCACCTGTTGGCAGTGCCAGTAGAGAGCCCTGGGACTAAATTCATCCTGCCTTCTACATCCAACATCAATAGACCATCTCTGTCAGAACGTCTATTCCCCGTGCAAACCACTTCATTAAATAGAAAACCTCTCTTTTTAAGTGATGTCTAGTTATCAGCTTGCATTTTAATATCTAACAAATTAAAAACTACGTTAACTTTGAGGCAATATTTTTCCATTCTATGCTGTTTTAAGAGACACCCATCTTCTTGCAACAGAGCACAATTTTGTCTCACAAACACACAGCTGAAAACGGCAGTGACAAAAGTAAGAATACAAAAATGAAACAAGTCACTTCACATATCTTTATTAGTTATTACTTCTATTAGTGCATTTTATGTCATAGATATTTTGTTCCTAAAATCTCATCTTCTTTATTTTTCCTTCACCTACCTTAGTTCTTATTTTATCCTCAATGGGCATGTCTCCACCATGGAAGGAAGATGAAGAAATAGAAAACTGGTCACTAGGACACTGTAAAAAGTAAATGACACATCATTAGAAACACAGTCATTTAACAGATCAGGCTGAGAATATATCATTAACAACCCAGACAGAAGATCATCATCTTCCATCATCATTTGAAATTAAAAAGTACCTCCAAAGGAATTGTTTACTGCTTCGCCTGCAAAAAGTGCTACAAACAGTAAACCAAAGAGACAAAACAGCCTTTAGTGGATTGTTAGAGCACTTAAGGAGGTGTAAATTGTAATTAGCCATATGCTAGACTTTCACAGTCCAATAAGAAATATGCCTGATGGTACAGCATCTCCCTGGCCCAGTTTTTCAGGTCAAAAGCAGAATGGCTGTTCAGTAAGGAATAAGCCACAAAGTGGGTTAGGAATACAAAACTATACAAAACTATTCCATTCTCTGGCATCCAACACAACAGGTCAGAACTCTTTCTGCACATGTTTGTGATGGCAGTCATGTTGCTGAGTTGCTCTGGATGCCCACCCAGAGTTTCTGTGTTCGAAGGTGGGAGGGAAGGCCCTGTTCAGCTCAAGTGGCAACCCTAAAATCATTGTGGGTCACAGGACACATTAACCCTGTTCACAAAGGAATCAGAGTGCAAATGTGTTACAAAGATAATGCTGTTCTATGTTAATATTGACAAAGTGGTTCAGAGCTGGGGACCTATATATCTGAGAGTGGTCTCAGGTACTGGCAGAACAAAACACAAACTTTTGAGAACTTGGTTTCATGTACTTCTCTGTTGACTGTGTGACTTTCGATATGTCTCTTAACCATCTTTAGCATATTTTTTAACTTCCCATAGCCTTAATTTATCATTTTTATCATATGGGGGTTGGACTTGGTGATTTTTTTAAAAAGCGGCATTCAAAATATATTTGTGTATAAGTGCACATTTTCCTGTACCCTCATATTTCTGAGAAATCCCATCACTTTCATTGGCTTTGCAAAAGGTTCAGGGACTAAGAAAAGATGAAGGAATAATCTTGGCTCTGGCAGATTAACTGTAGGAGTAGAAAATGAAACAGAATATTCAAAGTCTTGTGCTGGAACAAATAACTTTCAGGATTTGATTTGCATTGTTTGGCTGAGAATAAGATGCTTCTTATGCAAATGAAGACTGATAAAGGATGAGTTTATATTGTTTAAAATGCAATATGATCTTTTGGCTCAAAGAGCTGTATGCCAGTAAATTAGGGATTAATTTGGTTCTGAAAATCATGCAAATTCTCTTTGTGAATTTGTGCATTAATGTAACTTTCCACTAAGTGATTTTCACTAGAGGGAGATAAGATTTGGCTACATTCTTAAGGCAGCTAAACACAGGGACAAGAGCCATGAGAATGAAGAAGACTTAATGGATATCATCCTTATGAAAATCTATTTGGTTCACCTTGCTATCGGTTTTTTTGGTTTATTATTTTATTATTAATTTTGAGACAGAGTCTTGCTTTGTGACTCAGGCTGGAGTGCAGTGGTACGGTCAGGGCTCACTGCAATGTTGACCTCCCTCGCTCAAGAGATCCTCCCACCTCAGCTTTCCAAGTAGCTGGGATTACAGGTGCATGCCACCATGCCCGGCTAATTTTTTAAAATATTTTGTACAGATGAGGTCTCATTATGTTGCCCAGGCTAGTCTTGAATGCCTGGACTCAAATGATCCTTCCACCTTGGCCTCCCAAAGTGTTGAGATTACAGGTGTGAGTCATAAGGCCTGGATATCACATTGCTTATGTTTTTATTTCATGATCAGATAATAGAGCAAGTGTGCAATTTCCACAATCTACAACTTCATTCTCTTTCTCCTTGCCATCATCCCACCCATCCCACCTAGAACTGCTGCCAAGAAGGAAAAGTCTTCACTGGAATGCAAGCTCCACAAGCGAGAATTTTTGTCAGGTTTAACACTGTATTATCTCTAGAACAGTGCTCAGTACAGAGTAGGTCCTCAGCAACCATGTGTTGAATGCATTCCAATACTGATGATTTTCAGAATCGTTTAGGATTTGTGACCTCTCCTTTCTGAGCCTGAGTAGATTAAGTGTATCAAACTTGATTCTCTGTAATCTACTTAGGTTTCCTATTTTCTAAAGGCAATGGAGAGGGAGAGAGATCATTATGGCAGACGGGAGGCAGAACTAGATGATTCAGATGGACAGAGCAGCGTGCGGAGGCTTGCATTGTGAATTTCAGCTCCAGATCGACTGCAAGAACAAGCCAGCAATCCCGAGAGGACCCACAGACCCTCTGAAGGAAGCTGACTGCTCCTGCAGGACCCAGGAGATACCCCAAATACTCAGCCACAGCAAGACCCCCACAAGGAGAGTCTGAACTCAGACAGGCCTAGCCCTGACCCCACCTGATGGTCCTTCCCTACCCACCCTGGTAGCTGAAGACAAAGGTCATATGATCTTGGGAGTTCTAGGGCCCCACCCACCATCTATTCCTCTCCATACTACCATAGCTGATGCTCTCTGGAGGAGGCCAACCAGCACAAAAATAGAGCATTAAACCACCAAAGCTAAGAACCTTCACGGAGTTCATTGCACCCTCACTGGAACAGGCTCTGGTATCCACGGCTAAGAGACCCAGAGACAGTTTACATCACAGGACTCTGTGCAGACAACCCCCAGTACCAGCGTGGAGCCAGGTCTCCCTCGGTGGCTAGACACAGAAGAGAGACAACTATCACTGCAGTTTGGCTCACAGGAAGCTACATCCATAGGAAAAGGGGGAGAGTACTACATCAAGGGAACACATCGTGGGACAAAAGAATCTGAACAACAGCCTTCAGCCCTAGACATTCCCTCTGACAGAGCCTACCCAAATGAGAAGGAACCAGAAAATCAACTCTAGTTACAAGGCTCTTTAACACTCCCCAGAAATCACACCAGTTCACCAGCAATGAATCCAAACCAAGAAGAAATCCTTGATTTACCTGAAAAAGAATTCAGGAGGTTAATTATTAACCTAATTAGGGAGGCAACAGGGAAAGACAAAGCCCAATGCAAGGAAATCCAAAAAATGATACAAGAATTGAAGGGAAAAATATTCAAGGAAAATAGCTTAAAGAAAAAACAATAAAAAATTCAGGGAACATTGGAGACACTTACAGAAATGCAAAATGCTCTGGGAAGTCTCAGCAACAGAATTGAACAAGTAGAAGAAGGAAATTCAGAGTTCGAAGACAAGGTCTTCGAATTAACCCAATCCAACAAAGGCAAATAAAAAAGAATAAGAAAATATGAACAAAGTCTCCAAAAAAAGTCTGGGATTATGTTAAGTAACCAAACCTAAGAATAATTGGTGTTCCTGAGGAAGAAGAGAATTCTAGAAGCTTGGAAAACATTTTGGGGGAATAATCGAGGAAAACTTCCCCCACCTTGCTAGAGACCTAGACAACCAAATACAAGAAGCATAAAGAACACCAGGGAAATTCGTCACAAAAAGCTCATTGCCTAGGCACATTGTCATCAGGTTATCTAAAGTTAAGACGAAGAAAAGAATCTTAAGAGCGGTGAAAGAAGCACCAGGTAACTTACAAAGGAAAATCTATCAGATTAACAGCAGATTTCTCAGCAGAAACCCTATAAGCTAGAAGGGATTGGGGCCCTATCTTCAGCCTCCTCAAACAAAACAATTATCAGCCAAGAATTTTGTATCCAGTGAAACTAAGCATCATATATGAAGGAAAGATACGGTCTTTTTCAGACAAACAATCGGTGAGAGAATTTGATACTACCAAGCCACCACTACAAGAACTGCTAAAAGAAGCTCAAAATCTTTAAACAAATCCTAGAAACACATCAAAACAGAAACTCTTTAAAGCATAAATCACACAGGACCTATAAAACAAAAAAACAAGTTAAAAGGCAAAAACATCAAAAAATCCAAGGTACACAGGCAAAAAATAGCACAATGAATGCAATAGTAACTCACATCTCAATACTAACATTGAATGTAAATGGCATAAATGCTCCATGTAAAAGATACAGAACCTCAGAATGGATAAGAACTCACCAGCCAACTACCTGCTGCCTTCAGGAGACTAAACTGACACATAAGGACTCATATTAACTTAAAGTAAAGAGCAGGGGGAAAGGCATTTCATGCAAATAGACACCAAATGTGAGTGGGGTAGCTATTCTTATATCTAACAAAACAAACTTTAAAGCAACAGCAGTTAAAAGAGACAAAGAGGGACATTATATAACAGTAAAAGGCCTTGTCCAAGAGGAAAATATCACCATCCTAAACATATATGTGCCTAACACTGGAGCTACCAAATTTATAAAACAATTACTAATAGACTTAAGAAATGAGATAGACAGCAACATAATAATAGTGTGGGACTTCAGTACTCCACTGACAGCACTTGACAGGTCATCAAGAAAGAAAATCAACAAAGAAACAATGGATTTAAATGACACCTTGGAACGAATGGACTTAATAGATATATACAGAACATTTCATCCAACAACCACAGAATACACATTCTATTCAACAACTCATGGAACTTTCTCCAGGATAGACCATACGATAGGCCATAAGAGTCTCAAAACATTTAAGAAAATTGAAATTATATCAAGCACTCTCTCAGACCACAGTGGAATAAAAAGGGAAATCAACTCCAAAAGGAACCTTCAAAACCATGCAAATACATAGAAATTAAATAACCTGCCTCTGAATGAGCATTGGGTCAAAAACAAAATCAACGTGGAAATTAAAAAATTCTTCAAACTGAATGACAGTAATGACACAACCTATCAAAATCTCTGGGATACAGCAAAGGCGGTGCTAAGAGGAAAGTTCGTAACACCAAATGCCTATATCAAAAAGACTGAAAGAGCACTAACTGATATTCTAAGCTCACACCTCAAGGAACTAAAGAAACAAGAACAAACCAAACCCAAACCCAACAGCAGGAAAAAAAAAAACAAAAAAACCCAACATGATCAGACCAGAACTAAATGAAACTGAAACACACACAAAAATACAAA